TTTCTAAATATTTTCTCACTAGTATTTGAGAATCTAGGGATTCCTGTGTAAATGACTGGAGTAGGAAACGTTTAAACTAAGTCTCGAATATCTAATCCCAGAAAGCAAGGAAGTGCTCACAGATTAACGGGCATGTTCCAACAGGATGAGCCCAAGCAGACTTGAAGGGGCTCCCCCGGCTACATTATAGACATTTCCAGCATCAAAGATAAAGACTGTAACTAATTGTAAAAGTGAATAAATAGAAGTCTAAGAATCACAGAGAGAAGGGCAGTGCAAGCCTGAGGGAAGACCCTCATTTCAATTATTTGGTGTGACTACTGTATCAATGGATCTCTTTTTGCCTCTTTAAGGAGGAACTCTTATTCAACCCAGACGACAAGGCAAAGCTTTGTTGTTGTCGTTGTTGTTTGACAAACGAATGCCTGCTAATAAACATACAAATAATAAGAAAATTAGAAAATCATCAATTTCATCAATTGAAACCCCCGATTAAATAAGTGGCTTGGGTAAGGATTATCAATGGATGCTAAAATCAGGTGAAAGAATATTCAAGAACACTGAATAACCTAGAAGAAATGAATAAATTCCTAGAAAAATGTGACATACCAAGACCGAATTGTGAAGAAATAGAAAATAGTAACAGACTAATAGCGAGGAGACTGAATAGGTAATTAAAAACCTCTCGTCAAGAAAAAATCAAAATCTGATGGCTTTAATGCTGAACATTTAAAGTAGCAATAACACCAATCCTTCTGAAACTCTTTTAAAAACGTGAAGAGGAGAGAATGCTTCCAAACTCATTTCATGAGAGACCAGAATGATCCTGATAGCAAAGCCAGACAAGGACGCTATTTAAAAAAAAGAAAAAAATTACAGCCAGGCAAGGTAGCTCACGCTTGTAATTCTAATGCTCTGGGAGGCGGAGGTAGGTGGATTGCTTGAGTTCAGGAGTTCGAGACTAGCTTGAGCAAGAGCAAGACCACATCTCTACTAAAAAAATAGAAAACACAGCTGGGCATCATGGCTGGCGCCTATAGTCCTAGCTACTGGGGAGCATGAAGCAAGAGGATTACCCAAGCACAAGAGTTTGAGGTTGCTGTGAGCCATGATAATACTACACTCTATCCAGGGTGATGGGGTGAGACTCTGTCTCAAAAAAAAAAAAAAAATTACAAGCCAATATGAACACAAATGCAAAAGAACTCAGCAAAATACTAGTAAATTGAATGTGACAGCACATTAAAGACAGCATTTACCACGATCAAGCGGAATTTACCCCAGGATACAAGGATGGTTCAACATATGCAAATCAATAAACGTAACACATCATATTAACAGAACAAAGGACAAGAGCCCACAAAGTACTTAACAGCAGACAGAAAGACATACCTGTACAACAGACAAATCTCTTTAACCAAATGGTCAAATTTGGTATCTCTTTTTTTTTTTTGACAGAGCCTCAAGCTGTCACCCTGGGTAGAGTGCCGTGGCATTACAGCTCACAGCAACCTCCAACTCCTGGGCTCAAGCGAGTCTCCTGCCTCCGCCTCCCAAGTAGCTGGGACCACAGGTCCCTGCCACAACGCCCGGCTATTTTTTTTTTTTTTTTTGGTTGCAACCGTCATTGTTGTTTGGCGGGTCTGGGCTGGGGATTCGAACCCGCCACCTTAGGTGTACGTGGCTCGCGCCTTAGCCGGTTGAGCTATAGGCGCCAAGCCAAATTTGGTATCTCTAATAGTGATGTCTCTTGAAGTGATGCAACACAAAGTCCAAGGTATGGCCTATGAGGTCTTCTCACCAAAATGTTTAAACCCAATCCAATCCAGTCTGTAACCTTAACTTCCAGCTTATGTGAAGCACATGATACAAAGGAGCAAGTTCAAAAAAGACCATCAGAACATCACACCAATCAAATATGAGACATTCAACAAGACACCGGGCCTCTTCTGTCAAAAATAGCAAAGCATAGATTAAAAAAAATGGTGGCAATGACCTCGAGTAAAAGATCCTAGAGAGACAGGATAGGAAAATGCCTCAACCTGGGTTGCATTCTGGTCTGGGGATGTGGGGGAAACAGCTATAAAAGACAACTGCAGAACAACTGGGAGAAAGAATCTGAGTGTGGAACTTGGCTAGTAGATTATTTTTGAGTAAGAGATAAGTCTTGTTGTGTACAACATACTTTCAAATAGTTCTGGGGGACCCACACACATTACAAATCCACCAAACAAACATGGCAAAATATTAACTGTTACAACTAGAAGGTGGCTATATGAATGTTCACAGTATTATTTTTTCATGTTAGGAAATTTTTGTATTATAAAAGTGAGAATAAAAGGAAAAACTTTTTTAAATGAGTGAAAGGTAGAGAAAAGACCAGTGAACATCTAGAGGATGTAAAGGTTTTTCCTTTTTTCAGTTTCGGCCAGGGCTGGGTTTGAACCCACCACCTCTGGCATATGGGGCCAGTGCCCTACTCCTTTGAGCCACGGGTGCCACCAGTGAAAGTTTTTCCTTATTGATAACTTACTCCTTGTTCCCCTGGTGTAAGTCAGGTATTGGGCTAGGTATGAAGCTAGAGAAGAACTAAGACAGGGCAGCTGCCTTCAAGGATCTCACTGTCTAGTGTAAGAGAAACACAAATACTTTAAAACAGCAGAGCTGGGGCAATGATACAGACATGCACTCATTTGGTAAATATTTATAGAGCACCTACTACATGCTGGGTGCTGTGCGAGGTGCTGAAGATAGGATGTGAATGGAGCAAGCATGGTTCCTGAATGCACAGTGCTCAGATTCCTGTACAGAATTACGATTGTGTGAATGCTAGGTGTAAAACGTATGGAGTATTAGAGTGACACAAAGGAAACACTTCCAGCTCTGGTGGGGATTGGGGGTGGTGGGCAGAGCTGCCAAGGTATAAAGGCAGCCTAGGAATCAGTCAGGGAGAGGACCCAGAGGTGGAAGTGCGGAGCATACAGACACAAAATGGTCCCCTGTGCTCAGGGACTAGATGATACTGATACTGTGGGAGTGTGAATGGGCTGAGGGGGTGATGTGGGTGGGTGCCACATCTTAAAAGGATTTAGGCATCTGGGCTTTCTCCTGTAGGCTCCAGGAGCAGAGAACATTCATGTAAGGTGGCTAGTGGCTGTGGCCGTGCAAGGCTGGGCCCAAACAGGAGACAGTGTGGATCCTGCTCTTGGCTGTGTCTCCTCATGCTTGGATGCCTGCCTGTTGGGCTCTGTCAGCTCCACTACCCTGAAAAGCCCCAGGGATTCTCCGGGGTCAACTCTATGCCAGTGGGCAGCAGGAAGTGCTTCAGACTGAATGCTCCGTGAGACTCAAGCCACTGGAGCTGGGAGAGAAGGACAGCTCTGGAGGGAGAGTGTGAAAGGTGAAGGCAAGAGGCTCAGCCATACTGAGGATCAGTTTCTCCTAGACCGCCACGAGGGATCTTTTCAGGCCCTAGCAATAGGAGGGCTTTAATCCTGGCTAAGGATACAATCTCAAAGCTTTAGCCCTCACAAGAGGGATGGCTTTTTGCTACAGTCACAGGCAAATAAAATCCAAAAGATAAACCGCTCAGGGCTATTTTCCCTGAAGTCTGAAATCACTGACTAGGTTGACTGCCTTCTCAAGACTGTGAGCTGTCTGTTGACTATGGGTTCATCAGTTTTAGGCTCTTAGTACTCAGCACAGAGCTGAATGAATCAGGTTTTTTAGTATATAAGGTGCTGATGGAGCTACTATGTCACATGCTGTGGTCTAGCTTTCCTGCCCTAAATGGTTGGGCTGAACTTTTCTCCAATAACTGCCTACTGGTCTGCGTCTGCCCTGAATCTCCAGGTCCCTAAGTCTGACCCCTTTAACTGGGGAAGGTTTGGCCAGCTATTGGGGAATGCCTCTGGTCCCTGTATTCTTATGCCTTTGAGTTTAATATTTTCCCTATGAAGTAGATATCAGACCCTTAAAATTATGTGCCAGAGACCCAGAAGGAAGACGGCTCTTAAATTCCTACTGCAGGCATTTCCCAGAATTTGCAAATTGTCATTTCCTCGCACTCTTTTGTCTTTTTTTGACACAAGGTCTTGCTCTGTTGCCCAGGCTAGAGTGCAGTGGCCTCAGCATAGCTCATTGTAACCTCAAACTCCTGGGTTCAAGCGATCTTCCCACCTGGTCCTCTCAAAGTGCTAGGGTTACAGGCGTGAGCCATGGTGCCTGACTCCTCACTCTCATTTCTATGGATACTCCATACTGTATCTCCTCTCAACAGCAAGAATAAAAGCACAGTTCTGGAGGGCCTGGGGGTTGGTGTACACAAGCCTTGGGTGTCTAAGGACCTGGGGGCAAGGGTAGACAGGTGCCATACCACCTCTAAACTACCCCACACCCAGGAACCACCCCCAGGCAGCAAGATGATGATGCAGGCACGGATGCCAGGTGGGGAAGGCTGGTGAAAATGGGAATCCTCCGGGAGAAGGATGAAAAGCAGCAAGCCCTGCACCCGTCCCAAATCACGAAAAGGGCGCTCGCCACCCGTGAAATCACTCCTGGAATCCCCAATCAGCAGGTGCCATCTGTGCCCGGCCTGCTACCACCAGAGACTGAGCCAAGGCGGCTGCACTGAAAAGCGTACAGGGAGACGATGGCAGCGTCGGCTGGAGCGCGGGCGCCACTCGCCTGAGAAGGGGGCCCCAGCCTCACATGGATGGGCCTCAGGGAGGGTGTCTGGGGGAGCTCACGGAAGGAACGTCTCCCCCAGAGAAAGGGATGGCCTGAGAAAGTCGTCCTCTTGAATCCCAGGCCCCTCAGATCCCCACCGCCCGCCGCAGGAGCCCCGGTCGGGGGCACCCACTACCTCCAAGGGCCAGGTTTGACTCAGGGGAACCTTTAGAGCCGCAGCCCCCGCCGGGGTGACTCCCAGCCCGGCCGCGGAGTTGCGGCGCCCCATCAGCCGCCCGAACCCGGACCCCGCCGCCGCCGCCGCCGCCTACCCGTGCCCGCGGCTCGGCTCCTCCTCGCTCGCGCTGCCCCAGCCCGGGCTGAGGTACCGGCTCGGGTCCCCGGCGCCCCGCGCCTCCGCCCCCTCCTCCTCCTCCTCCAAGCCCTCCACGTCCTCGGCCTCCTGGATGGCGACGCGGATCTGCACCGCCGCCTCGGGCCCGGGCCGAGCGTCCTCGCCGGGCTGGGCCATGGCTGGCCGGGCTGCGGCGCCGCCGAGGTCCCCGCGCCGCGAGCCCCAGCCGGTCGGGCGGCGGCGACTGAGACGGGGACAGGGACGGGGGCGGCGCCAGCACGCCCGCTGCTCGGCCCGGGGAGGACGGGGTCGGGCGCCCCGCCCTGCGCCGCTGCTGCAGCTGCCGCCGCTGCCCGGACCCAGGCGGGCGCAGCGGGCGGGGCCCGGGGCCTGGGGCGGGGCGGGCTGCTCCGCGCTCCTCGCGCGAGGCCTGACCGGGAGCCCGGGCCCCCCGCGCCTGCCCGCCGGCGCCCCTCTCACGCGCCGCGCAGCACGTCTCACTTCCCAGTCGGTGCTCCACTCCGGGGGTGGCCGACGCAGACCGCTGCTGCAGGCTCCTCTGATCGCATCTAAATCGCATCTTTAGACTGTTGGACAAAACCACCCTAGACTGGGCATCTGACGAGGTCAGGGACCTGGCTCCTGCCGTGTCCTGAACCAGTGGTTCTCAAAGTGTGGTTCCCAGACCAGCAGCACCAGCCTTACCTGGGAACCTGTTAGAAAGGCATATTCTCAGAGATCACCCAGATTTCCTGAATCAGAATCTCTGATTCAGAACTTCGTGTTTTAACAAGCTTTTCGGGTGAAGTTTGATGGTGAAGTTTCGGGTGAAGTTTGAAAGCCACTGCCCGGTACATAGTATGCACTCAGATTTTTTTTTTTTTTAAATAAATAAAAGAAGCTATTGAAATGCCAGTATGGTCTAAAACCCTGCCACCTTTTTGTCATATAGCTTTAACTTGAGTTCCATCTCAACTCTCCAGCGTGATCCAGAAACTAGAAGCAGAGGCATAGCAATGAATAAAACCTAACTATGCTTTCATAAAGCTCTTAATTTAGGGCCTTAAAAACAATTTATCATATTAATTTGTCACATTACGATCTGAAAGAACAGAACCCTGGACCAACACATTTGTTTCCATATAAGGAAGCAAGTTCGGAGAGGTTCAGGAAACGGAGTCTCTTGGAGGTCAGCGTGTCCTTGTAAAAGAACGCCACGTGTAGAGCCCTGGGTGCCTGGGTGAGACCCAGGGCCTAGAGAGATCTGCTTCCTCTGTCCTTTTCTTTGTCAGATCTCTCTTTTGATAGAAGAGGTTCTAGAAGGTGCAAATAAGGGAAGAGAGAAGACAGGTGGTGCTACTGCTGTTTCTGCAGGGGAACAGCTCACAGCTCTGGGGCTGAGCCACCAGGAAGAAGAGGCAAGAGGTACAAAATATCTTTTCCCAGCCAGCTGCATCTTCTTCTAGGGCTCTAGAGGCTGTACAACCTCTACAAACCTCTACTGAGGCTCAGGAGGAGAGATCGGCAGCAGTCTCCACACCTTCTGGTCTGATATGTTCGTTTCCTGAATTTCACAAAACAATACCCATTACCTCGTTGAAACCATCATGAGTGGCAAAGACATAAGGTTTATTATTCCTGCCCATGATAATGTCTCACGTTTGAACCAAGTTTTATAGTTTATGAACAATTTGTACATACCATCTCAGATTTTTCAAATGCCTGATTGTAAGAGTCCCCTGGAGACTTTTCAGGAAATATACTTGGAGAACTAATGGCAGGTAAACCTGGTGGGCAGAGTGTTGTATTTGGTTAGAGTTTTGAAAAATGTAAATTGAATTTATGTGACCTTAGATTCAAACATATCTTCCTGCACTGCTTCTGATATCTTTTATTTGTGACTCCCCATGAAAAAACTTTGGATCTAGAAAGGGTATTAGGATATTACCAGTGCTGAGTTCCTCTTGGTAGAGAATATATACCCCCAAGTGTTACCCCCAGAACTTAGTTTAGCAGGACAGCCTAGGCATCAGAATCCAGGTCTATTTGATACCAAAGTGAGTTCTTTTTCCATTACACCCTAATGCTTACGTGTGAGCTTTTCTAGTAAGCCTCAAGACCTCCTTGATGATGTTTTCACTGGCTGCGCCTCTGCGTACAGATTTCCTTTCAAAAGAGGTTGAAAATGTCTTTGTGGGGTACAAACCTTTGTGCCAAGGCCCCACTAAGCTTAGAGGAAAAACATGGGGCATCTTTCTGGGATATTGATTTTACTCAAATGTATGAGAAAAGAGCCATAATGTATATGTTAAAACAACTTGGAATATCATTAATATCAGTAAGATACAAAACTTGCACAGAATTCTTAAGGCAAATTCACATAAGTTTCTCATTTGTAGTAGCTGATGCTTGAGGGAGGAAAAGACAGGAACCTTCATCTGTGTGAGGGGTACTTCCTGGGAGGAGTCCAACTCCATGACTTTTTTCCAATGAAGAGATTAAGTCTCAGCCAGCTTCAGGGAAGGGCCTCTCATACTGTATAGCAGGAAGCCTTGCATCTAGGAACAATTATTGAGTTGATTTGAGTAGTCCTACCCTCACACTAATCATGTGTGTCACTGGTGAGGGAACCGGGGATTTAAAGGGGCCCTTCTGATTTCCAGCTCCTTCCTCCCCAGAGCAATGGCAGGGAAGGAGGCCACTGCCTCTCAGGCCTGTCTTCAGCGTTATTGCAGGGAGCTGGCACGGCCACTGGGATGATTAGCAAAGACTTCTTAAACAAAATCATGACCTCAGACTAGAATTGGCATCATTCCCTTTCTGTCGAATCTCAAGAGCTCATTTTTATAGTAAACTCAAAATGGGAAGTCGCTTTTTTTCTCCTGTAGTTTCTGAAACAGCCTCAAGATGGAATCAAGGTTATGTTGAAGCAAAAGCTCAACCCTGAAAGACCTTTCCAATGTATACAAGGATGATGTTTGGAATCAACTGGAAATACTCTTTAGTGTGTCTTGCACTAGAAACCAAGGACTTGGAGTAAGATATTAATGAGAAATTGCGATGGAGCTAAATGTTGAAGGGTTAAGTGTTTAAGTATTGTAGGGAGGATGCTCATTAAGAGGTCTCATTTTAATTGTTGGTTAAGAGAACATTTTTATTTGTTCATTTAATCATTTGTTGAGGATGTACCAAATACCTGTGCTTTACTCAGTTTTTTAAGATGCCTAAGACATAATTCATGAATATCAGGAGATGGAGAGAGAGCCTGGAAAAGATAGCCATCAGTAATAAGAATATGCTGGCTCGGCGCCTGTGGCTCAAGCGGCTAAGGCGCCGGCCACGTACACCTAAGGTGGCGGGTTTGAATCCCCAGCCTGGGCCCGCCAAACAACAATGATGGCTGCAACCAAAAAATAACCAGGCGTTGTGGCGGGCGCCTGTAGTCCCAGCTACTTGGGAGGCTGAGGCAGGAGACTCGCTTGAGCCCAGGAGTTGGAGGTTGCTGTGAGCGTGATGCCATGGCACTCTACCCAGGGGGACAGCTTGAGGCTCTGTCGAAAAAAAAAAAAAAAAAAATATGCTTGCTGCACTAGATGCTGTAACAGAAATCTGTACGCAGAGGCGCAGCCAGTGAAGGCATCATCAGGGAGGTCTTGAGGCTTACTAGAAAAGCTCACATGTAAGCATTAGAGTATAATGGGAAAAGAACTCACTTTGGTATCAAATAGACCTGGATTCAGACACCAGCCTCATGTCTTCTTGGCCTCAAAACCTCTCTGCTGTTCAGAGGTTCTGAGGTAAAATGGTCTGAATGGTCCACACCTAACTGAGCTGGCCACATAGATAAAATTAGATGTTTTGGTGGAAAATGTTTAGCAAAACATTTGGCTCAGATTTAGATACTCAGTAAATGTTAGTATACACACCTGGAAAATCTTAGTCTGAATGGAGAGCACAAAAATTCTGTTTCCTAGATATGTATATTCCTCCATTGTAAATTAATAAATTGGTGGGGTTTTTTTTTTTTTGCCTATATGCTAAATTCTTATAAATTGAGGTAGCCTTTAAGAGTCAACTTAATTCTGAACATACTGAAAAAATGGAGAATCTCTCTGGGCCCCAAACAAGCATCTTCCCATAATTTATTTCTACTTTCAATGAGAGCTAAGATATTAATCCATGGATTTGAGGTTTCTTACATAACTTACCCATTAATCTCTACAGAGGATGCAAAAAAAAAAACTGTATACACATTTTAAGAAAGGAAAAAACTAAACTGTATTAAAATTGTGGTACTCAATATGTACCAATAACAAAAGATGAACACAAATTGCCTTTGAGCACCTCTTGTAATTACAGAAGTCAAACATAACTTGAGCAGGTACTAAATCCTGGTCAATAGTATGTGAGCAGCAAAGTTTTCTTCCACTTCTGGGTTGGGTTTCCCTATTTTTTTTTTTTTTTTCTCCATCTATTGGCTGGAGCAGCGACAGTGGACCCAAGGATGAAAACCACATGTTGAGAATAGTTGAGCAACACACAAGCCCCAGCTTGGTGGGCCATAATCTAGACCATTATCACAGAAACTCACATTTTGTTTAATTCACTGCATTTTGAGGTGTCTATGTCATAGAAGCTTGTCCTACATCCTATCTAATACCTGAGATTAATATTAATATCTAAAGTTGGTAGTAAGATTGAATGATACAACACATGGAACTACCTAGATTGGGGCCTACAATATGGTAACCACTCAGTAAATTAGTGTTGAGTTTGAATTTTAGAAATGTGACAACTGAAATATTTATTGCATGATGAAAGTGCTAAATTATGTGGTAAGAATGATGCAGGATCCCAAAGGAATAAAATATGATCCTCCCTATTAGAATAAGACTTTATGTTCTAAAGGAGGACTTAGATTCTATCTTCTCACTCCTTCCTAAGAATAGTGAAAATTATCAAAATTATCCATGGAAGCTGCAAGTAGCAGAAAAGCAGGGACTTTTTAAAGGCAGCTGCTGTCTCCCACTCCCCTAACTTTGAGGTACGACCTGCCAAAGCAACCACACCCCAAGTTTTGGTCCCATCATGTAAAACTATCTTGCGACTCAACTACTTTCTTGGTAGCATATTATCAAATTGGTTTGGCACATACTTCAGACAGTATATTCAAGCTTCACCTGGCATTTATGCCTTGTGCAGGACTAGTTTATCAAACTGATGGGGAGTGTGAAATATTAAAGATAGATGGACTTAAGACTTTACATCTTTTGTATTAACCTGGATGGAGTTGAAAAACATTCTTCTTAGTAAAGTATCACAACAATGGAAAAGTAAGTATCCAATGT